TCAGTTTAATGCAGCTTCTGGAGGACAGATGGCGGCGTGAAAGTGTAGAACTATTTAATGCAGCTTGATTGGTCAATCGATACAAGTGAGCGTTCACTCTTTTTTCTGTTTTGTGGTTTAATTTCACCGAACGAAAAATTAATTGAAATGATGTACTTATTCCTAATAGCACGAAAACTTTCATAAAATTAAAATTAATTCCTAGAAGCGCCAGAAGCGGTATGCATGTGGATTACTAAACACGCTGGGATGGTCGGTTTTTGTGCATGTGCTTCCGTCAAGAATGAAAAACGGAAATCTCGAACTGATTCAGCTGGAGAGGAACTGAATGCAGTTTGGGATTGGTCATGGCTTTTATTGTCTAGTGGATTTTTTTCAGATTTCAGTCTCGTTTTGAGAAAATCGTCAATGAAAATTTTCAAAAATTTAGTGGTTTTCCAAAGGCGGTCGCTAAACATGCTGTAATCGGTTTCTGGGCAAGTGCTTCGTCCGTCGAGAAATAAAAAACGAAAATCTGGTTCAGCTGGTGAGAAACTTAATGCAGTTTTGGATATGGTTTCCCTTGTTAAAATTATTATAACAAGTTTACGTAACACATATGAGACTCGGCTAAAAGATAGCTTATTTGGCCTTGAAATACATACAATTATTTTTTAAAAATGACTTCCATATTTGTCATTTATCAGAAAGTTTTAAAGCAATTCTAAATTCAGAAAAAAAACAGGTAAAAGTTGATCAAATCCTGCACATTTTTTAAAAAAGAAAAATGTTTGAATACGAAAATGAAAATGCATATTTTTTTAAGTGGCCGTTATTTTTTAAAACTTATACTTGCTTTAAACTAAATTTTCGTTACAATTTTGAATACTAAAATTACAAAAGATATTTATTTGAAGGATGGTAACTTGATTAATTACAGAAAGAATTAAGAGGGCTCTATAGCAAATAGGCAACTAGCAATACATTTTAATAGATTTTATTACACAGTTTGTCTAAATATGAATTAATGCACAAACAACACACTTTCCCCCATTTTAAAGCAAATTTTCTATAAAATGGACATAGTTTGAAACTCAAATTACTTTTTGGTGGAAAGAAATTTGTAATTTACGATACCGCTTGTTTAAAAGCGGCAAATTACAAATTTCTTTACAACAAAAAGTAATTTGAGTCTCAAACTATGTCCATTTTATAAAAAATCTGCGTTAGAATGGAGGAAAGTTTGTTATTTCTGTATTAATTCATATTTAGACAAACTAGTCCAACCAACTTATACTTGGAGAAAAAAAAAATGGAAGGTAGCTGGACTTTTATAAGTGGAAACGGAAAAAGGACAATAAACCTAAAAAAAATAAATATCCAAGGCAAAAGTTGTAGATCATGCAAAAATTAACAACTTTTGTAGAGGTCACTTTTTATGATAACCTCAAAATTTCCGAGAAAAATGCAAAAAACAGTTTTTTTCTGATTCGTTTTTTATTTCTCATTTCCGCAAAAATAACTTAATTTTGACGAACCTGGTGAATGTATACCTTTCTGTGTCTTAAATAACCACAAAATTTCCGAGATATTCATTTTTTCCGGTCTGAAACACTTTTTTTTTCTATTCTACTTAGGAAAATCATCGTACAGAGTTCTGCCGGTAATAATTTTTTTCGTTTTGACATAAACTTTTTAGTGAAATAAAGAAATCTGTAATCAAGTTCAAAAACACACCCAAAAATGCAAAAAAAATAAAAAATGACTTGCAAGAATGAATTTTCCAGAAATTGTTGATAATTTGTTTAAATTAAAAAAAATTCAAAAACTGATTACACCATTCAATTCTACGGAAAAAAATAAAAAACTGTCTCACTGTTTGATCCAAAACTTTATTTTTGTACAATATTGCTATAAACATTTAAGTCGAATTACAAATGCACGAATGATAAATTATCTCTGGATGATTTGAGGTTTCAGCAATACAAAGTATTAACTGCGAAGTCTACTGTTCACGTGAGACCTGAAAACCTGAGATTTTGCAAAATCGTTTAATTTTTTCTGGCTTTATTTGAAAACGAGTTTTAAAATAAATTGCATATTTACATTGCCACTTTTTTCGCTCTATCCAATGGGGTCAACATTTTTGCAATCCGACGTTTCATCTTCGAGGGGCCATCATGTTATTTTTTTTAAATATGTCGCTGCTATTTTTATGCCAAAATCTAAAGTCATTTTTAATTCTGAATTAGATGATAATACTATTGTAATTGATTAAAAGGGTTTTTAGCTATTTTGCCTGAGTACGGATCTGAACGCTTTCAAAATATCTATTGGAGGAAGTCATAACAGTATAAAAGTCAATACAGCACAAAATATCCAACAATTTTTTTTAATCACAAATTAAAAAGTTTTACCTAATAAAAAAATAATACGAATTTATGAAATGTTTTATTATGTATTTCTAACTAGTAGGTATTGCTAATAGTTGTAAAAAAATTGTTGGATATTTTGTACTGTATTGACTTTTATACTGTTACAACTTCATCCAACAGATATTTTGAGTGTTCAAAGGCGTACTCAGGAAAAATTTTAAATGATAGCTAAAACAAGCTAAAAACTTTTAAGCGATTACAATACTTTTTAAGGGATTACAACAGTTATATCTAATTCAGAATTACAAATTACTAGGTTTGGTCATAAAAATAACAGCGACATATTTAAAAAAATTAACCTGATGATGGTCTCTCGAAGAAGAAACGTCGGATTGCAAAAATGTTAACGCCATTGTATAGAGCGAAAAAAGTGGCATTATAAATATGCAATTTATTTTAAAACTAGTTTTCAAATAAAGCCAGAAAAAAAATAAACAATTTTGGAAAATTTCGGGATTTTCCGGATATCTTCGGAACTACCCGGAATTTTTAATCTGTTTAAAAGGTATATCATTAGGAATAAAAAAACACAACTTTTTACTGAAAACTTCATTGTTGCAAGTAATTTTTTATTTTTTTTTGCATTTTTGAGCATGTTTTTGAACTGTGATTACAGATTTCTTTATTTCACCAAAAAATATATGTCAAAGCGAATGATCACCGGCAGAACTCTGTACGATGATTTTTCTAAGTGGAATTTTTCTTTGAAAAAAAAGTGTTTCAGACTGGAAAAAATGAATATCTCGGAAACTTCTTGATTTTTTAATCTAAAAAAATTTGTGGTTATTTAAGACACAGAAAGGTATTCTTTCACTAAGTTTCGTCAAAATTAAGTTATTTTTGCGGAAATGAGAAATAAAAAAGGAAAAATCGGAAAAAAACTGTTTTTCGCATTTTTCTCGGAAATTTTGAGGTTATTGTAAAAAGTGGCCTCTACAAAAGTTGTAGATTTTTGCATGATCTACAACTTTTGTATTGGATACTTTTTGTTTGACGTCAAATTTCGCCAGAAATCCCAATGATATAATTTGTCACAAATTTTCAACCCCCCAAATCAACCCTCTGCCACCCCTGCTTACACATTTATTATTTTTTTCATTTATTAAAAGCCCCTTTACCATTTCCATTTAAAAAAGTCCAGATAACAATTTTCTTTTTTTTCCTCTAAATGAGTTATTTCGACCGGTCTAAACTGTGTAATAAAATCTTTACAAATAATGTATTGCTGCTTGCCTATTTGCTATAGAGCCCTCTTAATAAAATTTTAATAGGAATTTCCTGCTAAACGGTTACATTTATCGGCTTGAATAAACGGTACATAATTTTTTCTGATATTGTTGCTCTTCTCAATAATGTTGAAAATTCTGTGATGTCTAGCAACAGAAAAATTATGAATAAAACAAATTTTGAGTTGTAGGTAGTGCCCTCTAGTGGCGCAAAATGAAACTTTTCTCTGACTGATCCAATATAGCTTGATCTAGTCTAGCGGTATTCAAAATGTGTTCTGTGCAACCCTGGGGTTCCCCACAACCTCTTTAGGGGTTCCGCGATGTCAAAAATTTAAAATTTTGAAATTATATCAACACTACAAAATTAAAAAAAATTATACTCTTAAAACTAGTACTTATAAATAAATTATACAGGGTTATCCAAAAGTTCCGGTACGGCAGAAAAACCTTCGAAGAAAGCATTCTCAAAAAAAATGTTTCAGACAAAAGTGTAAGGATTTTTCCCTGGTTATCTGATGGCGACCTTGGATTTGACCTTGACTGTGACCTTCAAGGGCATTTGAAGGTCAAGGTAAGTTTTTAAATGGGAACCCCTATTTTTTATTGCGGATTTGGAGAGTGGAGTATATTTTACGTCCAAAAATGGTCTTGACCGTGACTTTGACAATGACCTTCAAGGTTAAATGTGTGTCTACTTCCAAAAATCCCGGTACGGCAGAACTTTCGAAGAATGCATTTTGGAAAAAAATTTTTCAGACAAAAGTGTGAGGATTTTTCCTGCTCTTTCCAAAAAAAGGTAACTTGACCTTCAAATGACCTTGAAGGCCAAGTCAAGGTCAAATCCAAGGTCACCATCCGACAACCAGGGAAAAATCCTTACACATTTGTCTGAAACATTTTTTCCCAAAATGCCTCCTATAAAAGTTTTTCTGCCGAACCGGGACTTTTGGATAACCCTGTATAATCAGGAAAAATGTGTTCGAATGTGTTTTTTAGGGTTCCGCAAGTCGTAGAAGTTTGAGGACCGCTGATCTAGCCAGTGGGTGTGCCAAATGAGACTAATCGAATTTGAATTAAACCAATTATTTAAAAGAAAAATTAAAAAATTGAACTTTGACAAGCTGTACTTGCAAACAATTGACACTCCGGAAAAAATTTTCATTACGTACCGTTATTATTTTAATCCACGAAACCACCTCCTGCGAGTTTCCTGACGGAGTTTCAGAACACCCTTTATATTAAAATTTTGCTGAAATTGGTTGAAAAATTATTATTATTTTATGCATTTTGCACACTATGTGGCATCCGACAAAATTTCATATGAATCGAGGACGTTACATGCAAATAAAACACAAAATATGTAACATTAATTATATTTAATATTGTTTTTTACAAATTTTGTATTTATAAAACAAAAAAATATATGACACTAAAACACCTACATACAAATGGTGACAAGGTCCCTTATCACAAAAAATAGAAAGGGCCCATCGGATGCGCCCTTCTACATAACAAAAATATATATATAGATATGATAGTACTCCCATCTGAACGAAGTCAATATCATACGTAAAAAGTTGATAAGGACTTTATCACAGTTGAACAGCGTCACCAGTGATGACAATACATAAGAGCAAGAACGAATTGAAAAAATATACGTTTTCACGGCACCACACCTTGGCTCTTTTTCTATTTTCGTTCAATTGACAATTTAGATAAACCCGCAAAATGCACAGAATTTGAAAACGTTGAATCGGTATCACATTTGCCTCTATTAACGGGTGGGTTCAAACAGAAAAAGTGTGCATTCTGCGCGACAACACTTAAATGGGCGACTACAATAATTACGAACGGTGCATAAAAAACGGTTTGGCAACGCCGAAATGAGGAATTTTCGAGTCGCCTCGCTAGATAAATCCAGATAACTGCCATTGTGTTGAGTAACGACACGACAAATAATTACAACTGATAAAACCGATTGTTTACATAAAAGTATTTGCAACACTCTGGATATCTGATTAGTGCTCTGTTAAATCGTCGTAATTATTGTAACGTCGATTCGATTAGAAAAATAAACTAAACCTATATATTTATAAAGAACAGCGATTCATAGGCAAAGCTCTAAAAAAAATCCATTAGGTTGGTTCATTTCTATATACAAGTACATAACTGTTATCGTCAACATCACAACGCCTTTTTAATAATAGTACTCAGTGGAAGTAATGGCTATCATATAACATAGTATTCCAGGTCACCCATAGGGTTTAAATAAATAAATTACTGTCACGCACACTTAAAAAAAATTTCCAACGGTTCGTAACAGAAGAATCTCTTCGACGGGAAGAATGCGAAAAAATTTTAGGTCTTAAAACTCCAACGTGCTTAAAAAATTAAAACTAGCCAAAGGATTTCGTCGCATCCCTCCCGACGTGTATAACAATTTTGATCGATAGACAAATCGACAATGTAACATTACATTTGATGTAAAATTAACATACCGCTAAGGTATATCGTTATCTTATCGGCAGATATAAATAAATAATAGTAGCCAAGAGTCGAAATTAATATGCTGGTGTAACGCTAAGAGCACCATTACCGTTTATTCAGATTTTAGTCAGCCAAACATAAACAAAATGCAACAAAACAAACGGGGTCTTGTATATCCGTACAACGGAACGTGAAAGTTGAGGTTCTCCATGCAAATATTGTTAATATACTATAAAAATATCCGAATATCATTGTAAACATACGATGCGGCTCATTAAGGACCGGGACACGTTTCATAATTTTTTTGGGACACTTGCTGCAAATTATTTTTTTTTTTTTTTAGTGTACAGTGCCCTTCTTGTATTGTAATGAACCAATAACAATGATCTAGCTCGTAATTCATGGCCATTTTTGAAGATAACAAAAAATTAGCCAATTACTAATATCTTTCGTTGTAATTAGTAAATAATAGTTCCGCTTGTGGGCACAGCAGTTTGACCTTGTGAAACAAGAATTTTTAAATTGAACTAAAAAATTCAAGTTTCCAGTGGAAAATATGTTTCAATCTCAAAATTTCAAGGTCAAGCGAGATTTCGGATTTGAACTTGAAATTTCATGTTTGAACTTGAAATTCCTTGCTTGTATTTGAAATTTCAAGTTAAAACATGTAATTTTGAATATGAACTTGATATTTTAAGTTTTAAGTTAAATTTTCCAGCTTCAGACGCAAAATTTCAAATTCGCACTCAAAATTTCAAGTACAAACCAAACCCGCTTTATCAAGTTCAAACTTAAAATTTCAGCTTGAAATTTTTAGTCCGAAACAAGAAATATCGAGTATAAACTAAAATTTTCAAGTTGGTGGGAAATATCATATTTCAACCTCATAATTTCAAGTTCAAGCTCAAATTTCATGATTTTGGGTTTGAACTTGAAGTTTAGAACATCAAATTTCGAATTTAAACTTGATATATTGAGTTTTAAGTTATATTTTCCAGTTTCAGACGCAAAATTTCAAGTTCACGCTCAAAATTTCAAGTACAAACCCAAACTCTCAAGTTCAAATTTAAAATTTCAACTTGAAATTTTTAGTCTGAAGCAAGAAATATGGAGTATGAATTAAAATTTTCACGTTTCAGATTAAAAATTTGATGCTTCAAACTCAAACTTTCAAGTTTGAACACACATTTCAGGATCTTGGGTTCCAACTTGAAATTTTGAGTTTGAACCTGAAATTCTGGATTTTTACTTCAAATTTTGAGATTAAGACATGAAATTTCGAATTTTAACTTGATATTTCTAGTTTGAAGTTAAAATTTCATGTTTTAGTTTCAAAATTTCGAGGTCAGAGCCAAAATTCCAAATACACACCCAGAATTTCAAACATTTTGAAGTTCAAACCCAAACTTCAAAATGTTGAGTTTGAACTTGATATTCCGGGTTTGTACTAAAAATTTCGAGCTTGTTCTTGAATCAAAATTTCAAGATCACAGTCAAAATTCCAAGTACAAACCCAGAATTTCAAGTTCAAACCCAAACTTCAAAATTGTGAGTTTGAACTTGATATTTTGGATTTGTGTTTGAAATTTCGAGCTTGTACTTAATCAAAATTTTGAGATCACAGTCAAAATTCCAAGTACAAGCCCAGAATTTCAAGTTCAAACCCAAACTTCAAAATTGTGAGTTTGAACTTGATATTTCGGATTTATATCTGAAATTTCGAGCTTATACTTGAATCAAAATTTTGAGATGACGGTCAAAATTTTTAGTTCGAACTTGAAATTCCAGGTTTGTATTTGAAATTTTGAGCTTGTACTTGAAAATTTGGATATGAACTTGAAACTCCAGATTTGAACTTGAAGTTTCGAGTTTGAATTTTTGAATCTGATACTATAAATATCGAGTTCGAAGTCGAATTCTCATGTTTTAAACTCAAAATTTCGAATTCAAACTTGTAATAACCCAACCAAAACTTCCAATTCAAACACAAAATATCAAGCTAAAACTTAAATTTTCACGATTCGAACTTGAATTTTTAATCAAATTTCATGAAATAAATTTACTAAAGAATAAAAATGTATGGGTTTTCTACAGTTTTGTAAAATAGAATTTTTAAACTGAATTTTTAATAAAAAAAAAAAGAACATGATTTTCCAAAAAATCGCCTGTACAAAAATCGTAGCTGGCCAAGAATTAAGAATCGGATCATCATAATTAATTGAACAAGCAATCAAGAAGGCCATTATTTCTTAAATTTTCTTTAACAGTGCACCTCAAAAAAAAAGATTTGGGTTTTTACTTAGAAGATATCGGTGATCATTTTCAATTTTGTTGTTTTAAAAATAAACTCGAAGGGAAACGACATTCTGCAATAACGAATAGATCGATACAAGAACCTTATTTTTACATGTAAAATCAATATTGGGTAAGTTTGAATGCGACAACCTTCGATGGGCTCGGAAAATTAAAATATAAAATGCAAGTGCTTGGAAAAGTTTGTTCTCTTCGTTTGGGATGGGGGGGAAAAAAGGTTGTTCTACGCGAGTCATGATCGGATGAGTTACGGTACGATTTTTTTTCAAACAGACATCGTTTATGTTCCTTCCTTCTCGAAACGAGCTCGATATTGTCAAATGTTCTTGCTTCATCAACTTACCAGCAAAATAAATCTACAAGATTCTATAAACCTATAATCACTTTCAACTTAAGACCTAAGCTCACCTAGCCTACGTGTCGTACTCTTTACCCCTGGTAAGCCGAATGCGCAGCACTTTATATTACAATCTGTACACAATTTCCAAGGAAATAAAAAAATGTTCAACTCGACTGGTAAAATAATACTTACATTATTACAATTTTTACACTGGTGGTTAACTAGGTATGGGCAATGTCTAGAATTGAGTCTTTCTGCCGGTAATCGGCCTTGTGCATTGTGTTGAACGATATCGAACCGTACAGGCCGGCCCCGGACATGGCCGGCAGCTCTCTAGATTTTAAATTGTACTTCTCGACGTGGACTTCGTTCGGCGTCAGCTCCGACTTGCTCTCCTTCTCCTCGGCCAGAACGGTGCCGGGGGCCGGCACGATCCTGATCTCCGTCTTCGTTCCGAGGAGGTATTTGAAGAACTCGTACGTCGACCAACATATCGCCGTCGATGGCATCTGGTACATGACTCGAGCTTTCATCCCTGCAAGTCGCAAAACGACATGAGAAAAAAAATTGCTAAAACAACCCGTTTTACATTTAAATCGCGATTTTGGTCAACTTGCCCGAATTTTTTATATAACTTAGTTTTAGGTACACAGGGTGTTTATTAAGTACTTGTACAAACTTTAATGGGTAAATCTTTGATTAATTTTGAATTAAGAAGTTCATATAGACGGTGACATTTTGAGGAGGCATGCACATCTGCGCCATCTGGTGACGTCAAGAATACATATGAGCATGAGTCCGCAACGGCTTGGTTCATGAGATACAAGGCGTCCAAAAAATCGGTCATTCTCAGCAATTATTGTAAATGTTAGTTTAGTCTTAATCTTGCAAATGATCTGTTTGTCACATCGCAATACAATCAATAAAAGACACATTTTTTCATTTGTTTTTCAAAAAAATGATTCAGCTTACAAAATTCCAACGTAGCTTCAATTTTAAATCCGTTTTTTTACAAAACGGCTGCTTTCTGCGAAAAACACTAAGAGTACCTTTTATATGTAAAATTGAATGGAAAATAGGTATGTTTAGTCAAAAATAACATACAGTGCAACACAAAAAAGTTATGGTATATTTAAATCGAGATACAACACTGTATGTGGTGCCATCCAACATTAAACAAAAAAACTATGTAAATATTTCAGTTTCTCATCATCTATACTCCCAGTTTCCAAAATTTCGTCAAATTGCTGTGTTATTGAACAAAAATATAATCAAATACCAAATAAAAACTTTTTTTTGACGCTCTGTATCTCAAGAACCAAGCCATTGTGACCCATGTTCATGTTTTTATCTTAAATTAGTCAAAGATTCACTCTTTAAAGTTTGTACAAATAATTAATAAACACACTGTATAATAAAAGGGGTGAAAAAAGATAAAATCAAGGGGTTTTTCAAGATAACCAAAAAAAGGGGTAAGAGCTAGAAAAAATGTTTCTTATAAAAGTTGTAGAGCATAAAATTCTAAATAAAAATGGTCCATCAACTTTTTCTTCTACTATTAAAATTAACAGAGGTAGGAAAGCAGAAAAATGAATGAATTTCAATATATATTTTTTTAATCTACTCTAAAAAATATAAAATTTCTTTTCAGACAGATTTTTTTTAGTTTTGATAAGAAAGATATAATTTTTTAATAGTCAATTTTAAGATTTAACCACTAAAAATTTTTTTGCTGTACCATTCGATTCATTATTTAAAATAATGCTTTCGAAATTTTTTTTATATGTCTATTTCTAATAAAAAAGGGGGTAAGGCCAAAAGAGTCTAGAGTTAACTGTTAGCATAGTCTTTCAGCCATATCTTTGTTATTATTAGATATACAGGGTGGTCCGAACTTTATGCAGGAAACTTCGAGGGTAGATAGATCTCTTTAAAATAATATGTGTTTGCCTTATAAACATAGCTCTGGAACGGCCCCGTTTTAGAGATACAGGGTGTTGAGGTTTTAAAAAAAATTGATTTTTTGTTTATATCGCACACTACCTCACAGGTGGTGTAGAAAGAAGTGTAAATAATTTTGTTGGTGTGCTTTCAAATTGCACTTATTTTTAAACATAAATATTCTTGTAATATATCTGCCACAAGGGGATTGTATTGGTATGAATAACTTGAGAACAGCGAATCTTAGGGAAAAAATTAAAGTCACCTTTTTTACGTGTTTTGTGCATTAAAATATAAATCAGTTACAATGACATGTAAAAAATGCAGTGGCGTAGATTTTTTTGTAAAAAAAGGGGGTGACCCCTGTCCACTTGTACACCACTGGTTGAACCTTTAAAGCTCATATTTCAGGGAATATAAGGCCTACTATCATACATTATATGTACGAAATTTTATTGAGATCGGATATCAATTAATTCCGGAGATATAAACAAAAAATCAATTTTTTTTGACAAATTCAACACCCTGTATCTCTAAAACGGTGCCGTTCCAGACCTATGGTTTATAAGACAAACACATATTATTTTAAAGAGATCTATCTGCCCTGGAAGTTTCCTGCATAAAGTTCGGACCACCCTGTATATCTGTCAAATCTTGTCATTATGATCCTATGAAAGTGATCTATCGAAATATGCAAAAATATACAGTGCATTCTATTTAATGAAAACACAATTTTAATCAATATATCCGAAATGCAACAATCAACTGTTTTTTTAAGTACAGCTTTGAAACTGCTAGAAAATTTCCTTGAATTTTGATCTAGACAATTTTACAAAATAAATGGTCTTTCTTGGAAAATTCCCTAGTTTCAAGCAATTAGGAACAATACAACTGGTTCTAATTTACTGGACAATTCTTTGAGATTTTTAGTGACTTTTGATGTTATATAGTAGCAATTTTAGTGACATTCTAGAATTTCGATGCTCTTTGTTCTTATGATGGTTATGTGCATATGGATGAAGTTATTTTCACAACTCATGTTATGATACTGAAAAAGTAATACCTAAATTATAAAGAACTGACTTTTATGTGATATTAAATATTTAAATTTAAATTTTTTAATTCTTTTAAAAAAATTATGGTGTTAAATGTGTAAATATGAAACGCTTTACAGATAACATCCCATTATCTAATAGCTTCCTTATCAAATTATTAATTTGACTAATTACTGGTGGAATTTTTGTATGAAATTAATATTTCAACAATTATTCAATTTAATCTCAGTTCTCTATTGATTAGCGATACAGATGTGGACTAGATATCTCAAAATGGACAACATGATAACAAAATATATAACTGAAGTTTGCGATAAATAATGTGAACAAATTTTAACATAATATGGTATAGTTCTAAATTTCCTCTGGAACTACGAAAAACAATTATGAAAATGTATGAGACTCATGAAATTATTCATGGTTAAATGATTAATGGTTTAGCAGAAAACACACCTTATTGAATGCTTACAACCACATTTTTGATAGAATATAAGGTGAAATTACTTAAGAGACCATATAGTGCTTCAAAGAGTCAAATCTTTGATGCACTAAGGTTCATGTAACTTATAAGTTAGGCGGTTTATTGACCCATATCCAATAAATCAAATATTTCCCAGTAATCCATGTGCACTGCAATAACCTTTATCTAGATCCTGATTGTAGATAAATCAAATCAGCTAAAATATTTAGTGTATTGAATTCAGTACTCTGTAAACATATTGAATTACCCTTTACTGATAACAGAAAAAATACGATAACTTCAGACCAATCTTTCGATATTAATTGGTAATTACCATTAATTGCAAGCGACATTAAATCGATAAAAATAGTTATTAACGCCACATCATGAAAATGATAGCTGAACGGACACATTAGAATCCGTATTACAGTTAATAACAAGGTAAATAATGGGTCGACATATTTCTAAATAACTTGTATATTTTTTATGATAAACTAAAAGTAATATGTAAATATGCTGCATGATTGAAGATTTTAAAATAAGTACAAGTTTTAAATAATCAGCACTAAACTAAATTAAATGCTTCATTTAACAAATGAACTATAAATACTGGTAAATTGTTTTGGGATTTACATGTTTGCTCACAGCGTATCTGTACTTATTTATTATTATAGAATTATATAGGGTGACTCATAAACGGTGAAAGAAAGACTGGTAAATTGTTTTGGGATTTACATGTTTGCTCACAGCGTATCTGTACTTATTTATTATTATAGAATTATACAGGGTGACTCATAAACGGTGAACAGAGAAGAAAGAATAAATAAATAATAATAAATAAATAAGAATAAATTTCAAACAAATTACATTTTCATTACTAAAAAGATGTCGTGCCTGTATTCCTGGAAATGGAGGTATTTTCGAGCATTTATTCAAATAAAATCATTAAAATGATGATTAATGTTATTAATATCTTTATTCGAATAAATAATTGAATGGTTATTGTTTGTCATGTTATTTAAGTAAGTGTTTTCAGTTCGTTTTTTAAGTTTTATTTGAAAATCAGGCTTTTTTCGAAAAACATAATAGAGAGTAGTGATTTGTAGAACATTGAAAGACAAATCCAAAAATATCATGATTGTTACCGTAAAGCAGTAGCATATTATTTAGAAACATATGCCACCGATACCCTAAATTTTAGGAAAAGGCCCCAATTTTTGACAATGTTTAAAAGAATTAAAAACATTTTTTTAAGTTCAACACCCTGTATCTTTCTAACAAAGCGTCCTAGACAAACACCGTATACCAGGGGTTCCCAATCTTTTTTATACTGCGACTTCTTTTACAAGCTGTAATTTTTTTTGCCACACCCTTCTAAGATTACAAAATTCATCAACGCTTATAACTGACGAACACAAAAGACTGACTGAACAATAAACGACTCGACGCCCTAGGGCGTCACGACGCACCGTTTGGGAACCCCTGCTTTATACGAAACACTCCCTTTAAAATTCACCAAATAATACGAGGTTTCATTTTTGGTCACCGTTTGTGAATCACCCTGTATATTACATAAGTTAATGTTGATACGAAGTTACGTAATTTTTGAAAGTAAAGGTTAAAGTTTCAAGAGTAGTGTATCTCTTCTACTTAACCATGTAAAATTTATTTATTGCTTTTAATGCTTTTTCATCCTACTAGATGTATAACCAAAATGATGCGGCCAAAAATTAGATGATTATGAAAAGGAAAATTTACACTTTTATCATAAAGTTTAAATATTTATCACATAAAGAAAGCATTTATTTACGTTTAGATATTAGTTTTTCCAATACCATAGGTATCTAAAATATGAATCGTAGAGATAACTTTATCAGTATATGCACAATCATGATGAACATTAAATAAATTGCTATATTACGTTTTCATATACATCTAAATGATGCTTTAGTATTCCTTAATTGAGCATAATATTTAACCATTTTCGACCCAATACATGGTTCAAGAAACTGATAAAAAATCTGTCACAATTTACACAATAAAAATCAAGTGAGATGACAGTAATCCACATTTTTTTTTCCACATTTGAAACAAAAATTCTAGAACGTCATTAAAATTGGTACTACATAACATCAAAAATCACTAAAAATCCCCAAAAATTGGCAAATTACAACCGACTGTATTGTCTTTTAGGAAGTTCAACAGATTTTTATTGTATATAGGGTGACATCATGTGAATGCTTATAAAATTTCAGGACAATCGCAGCTCATAAAATTTTTTTTATCTTAATTCCTATCATTACGCCGGTAAAATAGTATTCAAAAGTAGTCAGACGATAGATTAAGAAAGATTATAGTCACTTATAAAGCATATCACTGACACTTCTATTTGCTTTGTAGTAAGTTAGTAATTAAAGCGTTAGATAAGATTATGATGCAAAAATGTAACGGTGGCAACGTTTACCCCTCAAGAATATTTTAACAATAATTACATTACAGTGCTCTACAGGAAATAGGATGTAAGTGCAAAATCTATGTTAGCTAATGTTATACTAATAGAAAAAAAAATCCTTTCATACACGATTAGAATTGTGTCTCGAATGTAATGGACAAACCATCGAACAATTTTACGAGTGAAATATAACCTGCAATAAGTTCGATACCAGTATATGTCTGGCGGTTCTACTGATGAAAGATCCCAGTTTACTAGATGTTGCAGACGTAGTTCAAGTTCACAGTAGTTGTCTCCCACAACACCATTAATTATAAATTGTAAAGATCGAAAACTAATAAAAAAAATTAATAAATGCTACAAACCTCTAAAATAGCCCGCAGTGCCCCTCAACCTATATATCGTCTTCATCGCCTCGACCAGTCCCGTCGTATTCCCTGCTTGTTGAGTATTCAGTAAGGTCTTGCAGACGTCGAGGGGCGTCGTGATGGCGGCGGCTATGCCGCCCGCTAGCGCCCCGCTGAACATGTGGGCGGGAGGGTTGTAGACCCCCTTCTCGTTGATCATCTTCTGGGAGAACTCGTAGACCATGAAGTGGATGCTCTGAAAGGGCACGTTCATCGTCAGCTGGGTAGTGTACGACCGGTAGAAGGCCCCGAGTCCCTCGCTTCGGTATATGTATGATATGCACTGAAGCACCGATTTGTAGGGTGAGTTTATCATTTGCATTCGTTGTTTCACGACTGGAAAGAAAATTAAATGTGTAAATTTGAAAACGTAAACCTATTTTCAAGATTAGTTTTCATCGTCACCTTAGTTTTTGAGGCAGTAAAAGTGGTTTTGGCTGTTAGATAAAGGACTGGAATAGGTATTGAAGACATTTTAAATCAAACGATGCCTTAGAAACTAAAACATAACATTTATGTCTGGTAAACCATGTAAAATTTTTATGTCAAATTTCTCGATATACATATGTCATTACCAAAGTTATATATCAAGAAACATATTGAGAATATCCTACTTTAATGTTTAAACGCTAAGGGTAAAATTAATTTCTGACACTGCAATCGACATGTCTACCATATTCAATCCTTTCTATCGAGGTTAATTATTATACCATTGAACATCAATCTTTCGCATCTGTAAAAAAATGGCGCTCTGTGGCTTAACATTCATGTTAAAAATTTTAGGTACAGAAAACTATAAAAATAATAGTAAAAAGTATGCACAAAATTGGCTTAAATAATGTGTTTCGTTGGCAAAAGTTAAATTATATCCATATAGAGATGTAACTTTCATAAAACATATAATTTTTAATCATATTCAAGCTCGGATTTAATGAAGGAATCATATAATATTTTTAACTTATCAATACTACTGATATCTTGATAATAACGAGCAATGTAGCCTAATGTCTTAAAATGCTCGTTGGTTATATTATGAACATGCAACGAGAAAGATAGTTTCGAGTTAAATACTACCCCTAGATTTTCTGAACTGTTACTTCCAAGCATTAAGAAATTAACTAAAGTACAGTCAAAAACAATTATATCAACTTTCAAAGAATAGCTTATAGCTTTACATTGACAATTTATTGATCAATTAATTCATGAAGTCGCTTCATCAAGAAATTGGACAAGTCTAATGCACCAAATCTGCTGTCAAATAACTTCATCAATTTATTCATCAAGTTCTTGACAGCATGTTCTAATTTTCGTCAATTTCTTCGTGAAATTCGGAAGTACCAACCCAACAGATTTCCAGCCTCAGATCAGTAATGGGGTTATGTTATTAGAATATATAAATAATTGTGTATATAAATAATTGTGTGGCGTCGTACTAGTTTTGCATTGTTGTTACTGATTTGTTACTTACAAAAACTAATATTTATATAATATGTGTCAGAACGGTACCGCTGTTGTATCACTAGAATTTAGAATTATGAGTGGAAAGGTGACATTTTTGAAATTTATTTGCTTCTTTGATTCATTGGTAGAACTGATTCATACGTCAAAAAACTTGACAAAGTCTGTAGCAGTGTAAAACCACACTGTTTACCAATAAATTCGTGAATTAATTCATGAAGAACTTCGTCAATTTATTCATGAATAAATTGTCAATGTAAAACAGCTATTACAATGTTGCATTTATCAATTTTTAAAAACAGTTTATTACAGTCCTACATTAGTTACGGTTTAAATAGTTGAATATAGCTTCAAGTAATATGTTTGCAATTACAGGAAGTTCAGTATTACACAAATCTTATAGTGGCAATTAATAAATTTAATAAACATTTACTTTATTGTGAATTTTTATTGCCATTACTTTTTATTTATGAATGAGTCAATGATAAAAACCTTTTTTTCATTATTCAGTTGAAATAATAAAAATATGTTTATTTTTGTCATTTACTATGTTGAGTTTTGTAACTATAGTTCTGCCTACGAAATTTCCTACTAGCAAAAAAATATACTACAAAGCTGATGATAACAGATTGTTATTTTCCACATCATTTAACATTTAATACTTTTCAAACTGCTAAAGAAGTTGTTACTTTCATTTCTTAAGATAAAAGTTTCTAAAAGTATTGAAGCTTTGAAATGGATGGGCTCATGTTATATCGATTATATTTTTCAATTTTATGAAGTAATTTAATTTGTGCTTTTGTATTTAATAATTACTTAAAAAAAAACAAGTACACATCATGTTGTATTTCAATTAGTCAATGTCAATAAAACTTTATTAGGAATTTTTATTTGAGCCACTTACTATAACAATTATTAATAGCGATATATCTGTCACTACTAGTGCCATCTATTTGTATTCTTTTCTCTTCACAAATTAATGGTATTGATATACAGTGCAGTATAGTACCCTAAAATTTATTCCGAATAAATGCAAAATAATACGTTAAAACTTTGATTTCTTGTCTTGGATCCAAAAATGCTTAGAAGAAAAACTCAGTACAAGTCTTTACATTACACTGATCGACAGGATTGCAGTAATACAAACAAAACTGATTTTGTTACAACATTTTTAATGGTTATCTTAATATCTACATATAAAAAGATCCCATTATGTCTGATTTTTGAGTACCTGTATTGCATCTCATAATAACAATAAATATTATGAAGATCCCCAGATCTAGGGAAATTTTGAAAAATGTGGCAACATCCAATGATTCAACTCTTTAGGGCCTAAAATATTTGAGATAAGTACATCCTTATCCCCCTCCCCATATAATAAGATGGTTTGTTAACTTTCAACTAATTGTTTAATTACCAAACGTTAATTTTAGAAATTTCAAAAAGGTGATAAAGGTGGCCATATTCCTGGCCGAGAAATAGTGAAATTTCTGGCGTTTTTAGGTACTGAAATCTTTAAAAGTACAACGTGTAGAACAAAAGTAAGCACAAAAATAAAATCCTTGATGTTTTGTTTATTCATTGTTACCATTTAAATTTACTCAAATAAAATAATAAGTAAAAAAAAAAACGTTTGTATATCCTAACCCCACACTTTAACAATTATTTTCACGTATTTATAAATAAAAGTAAACAATTTTATATGTAGGACTAAGCAAGTACATGTTATAAGAATATTTACATGTGGAGTTATATATAAAAAAGTTAGTATTTTCGTAGATTTCAGTACCTAAAACCTTGATGGTTTGATCGTTTTTTGCACCTGTTTATTCGTTTTACTGCGGCGTCTTTGAAAATACTCAGGTGGCATGACATAACATTCCTATTATTTGATAAGCTTTAGATTATTCAGTTATTAAATGTTTGAAATTATTTGTTTTTGCGGAAAACACTATTTAAAGAATATGGGGCCCTTAAGTTGCTCTTTAACAAAATAGGAAGTTCAAAACATCGTTATAAATACACTGTCCCGGGGTCAAGCAAAAGCCGCTCGGGAATTCACTCTTTTTGCATCAAATAGAGCTTATTTTTACAATATTTTTTTGAAAGAAGTCACCTGCGCCTCTTTGTTCCCGAGATGGCTTTTTTATAACGTTAATTGTTAATTAACTATTGGACGTATCGGACCGGGATTTTAGACACAATTAAAGAAAGGGTTAAAATTTAATTAACGTTAATTTTTACAGCGCATTTATTACATGAACTATCAATGTAAAACTTTAAAAGAAAAAAGTTTTCAGGGATTATAATCTAATTCGACTGGACTATTACTGGAATAAAGGTTTGTTATTATTATTATCTAAAGCACTAAGCTTGACACTAAACTAAACAGATCTTAAAAAAAAACTGAAGAAAACAAACTTAGGAAAAATTTAAAATTTATAATATTGCAAAAACACTGCCAAGGAAAAATGCCCTGTACTCTAAAGCCCAAAAAATCTCAACCATTTTTTAGCGATCTCCTTGAAAAACGACGAAAAACCCCCACAAAAATGTCGAGATCTAATAACCAAATAACACTAGCTCTTATTTTTAGTTTTAAAAATTTGGCAACCAATTTTATTGTTACTAAATGTTAAGACAATAACTAAATTGAATGAACTCAAACCAAAAATACCTACCTTCTGCTGGATTCATGAAACCGTCGTGGATTAAAGTGGCTACACACCCAGATGCACCTAAAACAAAAAAAACACTTATTTTCTGGCAACGTAATATATTTTTGCCTACTGACAGTTCTGTATTAAAAATAAATATCTAATAAAACATTTATTAATGCTGTTAACCATTTAAACCTACTGGACCAGTGAAGTGGTTGTTTCTATGAACTTATTCTAACAAACACATTGTTTCCAAAAACAACATTATTACATTAGTAATACTGACAAGTTTCAATTTTTTCACAATTATATAATATTGTATTAGATTACAATGTAAAATATATTAAGATTGTTGTAGAAGAAGGGAGATATTAAAAAGTAGGTACACGTACAAACAGGTCAATGTTTTTGCTTGTATAGTTAAAAAAAGTTAATTTATTCGAAAATGGCTTGTACTTAAATCTCTGGCAACTGAACTTTTCGGTTTTTCATGAATCTCGGAAGAATCCCAATACCAAAAAGAAACCAATTTCTAGGTTAACCCCAACAAACAAACAAGACTTGACCTCTTCATAATAATATGGTCTCAAAGCGCAATGTACAAACATAGTAATAAATAAATGTTTTGTCAAAGACAGCCGAAATATATTAATAGAATAATAACAACTACGAAAATCAATAACTTAACCATACACGAGCTGTTGTTTGTTCGTTAAAGAATGAAACACACATCATTGTAGATGTTCTATACAACAATTTGCTAGAGACGCTACCGCATTTTAAACAATGTATACGTAATTTACAACAATGAGCCAATTATCATATTTGTAGATCAACAACATGGCAACACGATACTGGTGGGTAGTATTATATTTCACGGCATCGTCACCATCTTGTCAGAGTTGCAAAATAAAGCAGATTTCGAAGACTTGAAATATAGGCACAATTTGAATTACAACAAAAGAAAATCTTATCCACATACGCTTAACCTTTATTGATTTTATAAATGCTAAATGCAATGAATCCATTATCAGACAAACATAATGCAATAAATTACAATTTATTTATGTATACTTTTTGTATAAACAATAAATAGGAAACATAACCACATGGTACTGAAATTATATTTTTTGAAGATTTGCTCTAGAAAAACTAACTAATTATTCCAAATATGTACTACATTTTCTACTAGTTTCGGTATGAAAAATGACTTTTTTATACCATGTAACAATTTGAACATAGTAATTTTAAGAAAGAACATTTTACGAAAACTAGTGTTCAAAGTAACATAATGAGGAGCAGTTTATAATTAGATTAAGCCCAAAATTAAATCAAAGATTTGGCTACAAATAGCCGAAGTTTTATGGGTGAACTTATAAGACATATATATGTACATAGTGTTAAATAATGATAAAAATTATGGACTAATGAAATAAGTATAGATACGTATAGAACTTCCCTTTATTGTCACAATGAAAAATAATGGATATTATACAGTTTTTACTATTTTCAAATCTATGATCTTTCAAAATGAAACTGATAGTGAGTTTAGCACTTGATTTAACCACAAGAACCCAATTTTTTTAAACAGATTTTGACGTTTTTCTATTGGAAGATGTATATTTATACAGGGTGGTCCGAATTTTATGCAGGAAACTTCCAGGGCTGATAGATCTCTTTAAAATAATAGGTGTTTCACTTATAAACATAGGTCTGGAACGGCCTCGTTTTAGAGATACAGGGTGTTGAAGTTGTTAAAAAAAATTAATTTTTTGTTTATATCTCCGGAATCTATTAACCGATCTGAACAAAATTTTTTACAGATAATGGATGACAGTAGGCCTTGCATTCTCTAAAATATGAGCTCTAAAGGATCTACCAGTGGTGTACAACTGGACAGGGTCACCCTTTTTTTATAAAAAAAACCTACGCCACTGTATTTTTTACAATCTATTGTAACGGATTTATATTCTAATGTACAAAATACGTAAAAAAGGTAACGTGAATTTTTTCCCTAAAGTTCACCGTTCTCAAGTTATTCATACGAATACAATCTCCTTGTGGCGGATACTTCTAACCATAATATTACAAGAATATTTATGTTTATGCTTAAAAGTAAGTGCAATTTGTAAGCACATCAACAAAATTCTTTACACTCGTCGCTTTCATCTTTTGGATTAAAACGATATTTGGAAAATCACGACGGCTCAATGAAAGACACAGAAATGAAATTTTAAGAACATTGGGGTGAGTAAATCGAAAATTTGAAAAGTTCTACATAAGGATGGTAGAAATCCGTACTATTTACAACCTGTGCAAAATTTACTTCCGGGAGATGTAGACACACCTGAATTTTTGTTAGTGGTTGTTTTAAAGTCACAACATAATCCAGAATTCTTACTAGAAATACTTTGGACCGATGAGGCTACGTTCACAAGGCGAGGGGTAGTGAATTTTCACAATATTTGGTCACAAGAAAATCCTCATGAAATTCGGATAAGATCTTTTCAACGAATTTTCTGGCTCGGAATAATTCGGACTTTATTTCTTGTCACCCCATCTAAATTCCCAGCATTTCTAAACTTTCTAGAAAACCATCTATTTGAATTATTAGAGGATGTTCCATTAAATATACCACAAAATAGCTGGATACAAATGGATGGTGCTCCTGCGCATTTTAGGAGAATAATACAATAATGGCTTAAAAATTATATGGGGCGATGGATAGGTTGAAGACCAAATGCCAATGTCAACCATAATGGTGCAGAGAATCCAGTCTCTTGGCCAGCCAAATCGCCAGATCTAAACCCCCTGGACTTCTACGTTTGGGGTTACCTATCTGAAAAGTAAAGTTTACTCTACTCCACCACAACTACTGCAGCGAATAGAAGAGGGGTGTAATGAATTAAAAGAAAACCACCACATGATATTAGTTAGGTAATTCCATTAATCATTAATAGAAATTGTCAGAAATGTATCGATGTGGATGGTTCGCATTTTGAACAATTGCTGCAAATACGTAACGTTAATTTCATTTCTTGTTTAATTGTCGTTGCTTGGTAAATGTATTTTTATTATTATTTTCATTTAAATTGTCCTTATTTGTAAAGATAGTGGATTAAGCCTCCAGGAGAAACTAAAATACACTAGGAACACTACCTCACAGGTGATGTGGAAATAATTTTGTTGATCTGCTTACAAATTGCACTTCCTTTTAAGTATAAACATAAATATTCTTGTAATATTATGGTTTGAAGTGTCTGCCACAAGGGGTTTGTATTTGTATGAATAACTTGAGAACGGTGAATCTTAGGGAAAAATTTCAAGTTACCTTTTTTACGTATTTAGTGCATTAGAATATAAATCCGTTACAATAACTTGCAAAAAATACAGTGGCGTAGTTTTTTTTATAAAAAGAGGGCGGCCCCTGTCCAGTTGTACACCACTGGTTGAACCTTTAGAGCTCATATTTTAGGAAATGTAAGGCTTACTGTCATACATTATCTATACCAAATTTTATTAAGATCGGTTAATAGATTCCGGAGATATAAACAAAAAATCAAATTTTTTTAACAACTTCAACACCCTGTATCTCTAAAACGAGGCCGTTCCAGACCTATGTTTATAAGGCAAACACCTATTATTTTAAAGAGATCTATATGCCCTCGAAGTTTCCTGCATAAAATTCGGACCACCCTGTATTTTTTAACGAAACATGCTTGAATTGTAATAGCTTTGTTGCTAGAAGCAATCCAAAACAGTTTCCAAAAATCAGAAGCATGCGCATTTCGATATAATGTATCTTGTGACTATTGGAAACAGTTTCTAATGCACCAGGATCAAAGCTAATATACAAGGTGTCCCATTAATATTGCGAAAAAATTCAGGGGGAGTTTCCTTGACCAAAAATAAGAAAGAAAGTTCCTATAAATCTATGTCCGAAAATGCTTCGTTTCGGAGATACAGGGTGTTGAAATTTAGAGAAAATACAAGGTTTTTACTAATATCTGGAGAACTTATAGGAACTTTCTTATTTTTGGTCAAGCAAACTCCCCCCGAATTTTATCGCAATATTAATGGGACACCCGGTATAATTCTGTAAAAATTCTTGAGCGTAACTTGTACAGGGTGTTTTGAAAAAGGTGTGCCTACAAATTCGGGGTCTGGCATCGAAAAATCACCGAAATGGCGAAAATCATGTCAGTGAGCGCAAAAAAATTCGAAAAATTGTTTTCTGAACATGATCAAGTGAGTTGCTTGTATTTTGCCGCTGCTAATTTAAGAACTCAATTAACCATAGTTGCTAACTTTATCCTCGTAAAATATGAATTTTGATGACCTTGAAATTAGCATCTCCACCAAACCTTGTGGTCAATTCTTATAAAATCGGAGGAGAATATGTTAATCAGGTACACGATTTTAATTTCGCATCAGTCACGTGCCGATAAATGTACAATTAATGCGTATGTAAATCCTTCATTAAGCGAGAAACAGATAGAGCGTGCAGCAAACGTGTAATTCGCGCTATTAGCGATTCCCTGAAATATATTATTATGCGTTACCGAACTCCGCACATGGGTGGCGTCGCCTCAACGTTGCACGCAGCAGTGAATCGGTAAATCCGAGGTGTGGAAATTACCGAAACTTCATCGCAAAAATGGGAGTCAGGGTCAAGCGAGCGAGTGTCGGTCGAATCGAAGTGAAAATAAAAGTCTTAGAAATGAATCTTTAAATAAAGTACCGGCAAAACGGGGTTACTTTGCGAATATTTATTGGTGTTACTTTGTGACGGTGAATACCAGAATGGGACAAGCGTATCTGATGGGTTTTTATTCGGAAACTTCATGAATTCTTTCTTTATGATTCACCATTTTTCTAATAAAAACGCAGGGTATTCCCATAGGAAACAGGTAAAGTCGTTACGATATCACTTGGAACCGCATAAAACCTCATAAACTCTAAGGAATCCATAGGCGTCCAGAAAAATTTTGGCCTGTCTCGTCTAGATATTCTATATTCCTATAGTCTGTTTGGAAATGAAAGAAAGTAATAAAACCCCGAGATAAGAACCGGCCATG